GGGCGCGGCGGGGCCTGCGGTTCTCCCGGCCCTCCCCGCGCTGAGCAAGGCCGGGACCGTTAGCCCGCGAAACCCACCTCACGTCAGTCTTATAACTAACAGGCATAAAGGGAAAAATAACTTCTGTGAGGCAATGATTAGGCAGCTGTTGGCGCTCACCACTTTCCAATTATAACTCAGTGTAAATAATAATTAAAATGAGTTAGAAACTTCAGCTGCAGCAAATGCTGAGATTGTTATGCCTGCGGTGCGCACGCCGGACGCGTGTGTCTGTGCGTAGCGCTGTGCACCAGTTGCTCCAGGCGTTTGGCTGCGCGTTGGGAATGTGGAGGGGCTGAAGCCTGGTTTGCTGGGGGCTGTGGACGTTTTGGAGGGCAGCGAATGACACCCCCCGGCACAACCCTTTGAGGTCTCCGTGTGTAACCGCTGCCTGTGCTGTGCTTGCAGGTGGTTCTCCTGGGCATGGACATCATCTCCGCGCTGGTGTCGCGCTTGCAGGATCGCTTCAAGGCGCAGATCGGCACAGGTAGGGAGCAGCGGGGACAGCGCGCGGCCTCCTGCCCTCGAGAGCGGGAGGAGAAGCCGAGCAATCGCATCCGTCCATCCTGAAACTCCAGGGAAACCTGCTGCTGCTGTGGGATCCGCAGGGGGTTGCCATGTGAGATGAGATGCAGATACCAGAGGATGTTTCTGTTTTTTTTTCTAGCTGATGTGTGCAAACTCGGTTTGTAGAGGAAACTCAAGGGTTGTACTAAAAAAACTGCTCAATCTGCTACCTTAAAGGACAATTTGTAACCTTGCATGTAAGGCCTCTGTTCCCCCACCAGGAGAGCTCTCACAGGGCACTTCAGTGATTTCACAGGCTCTGAGGGGCCTTTTTCTGCTCCCCCTGAGGTACAAGTGAAAATGGCAGCCTGGCCCGGGAGCTGCTGTCTCGCCAGGGTGCCCTCCTCGGCTTTCCCGCCCTAGGGAAGAAATACTCTGCAGCTGCCCCTCAACCCTCTGTGCCGTGGGGAGCGCCCCGGTTCCTGCAGTGTGTCCTGTTTGCGCAGTATCCCTGCAGAGCCTGCCGGGGCGCCCCTTGGGCTTGCAGCGCGCTCTGGATCAGCTGCGCGGAGCGGAGGGTGCCCGGCTGCCCCGAGCAGCTCGTGCCGCCCCCGGAGCGGGTCCTGCTCCGTGGCCAGGCCAAGGGGCAGCGGAGGGTCTGCGGCTGTGACCGCTTCCTTCTGCGAGCTGTGATCGTTGCCCTGTTCTGCCCACAGTGCTGCCAAGCTTACTCGACCGCCTGGGAGACTCCAAGGATTTGGTGCGGGAGCAGGATCAGACCTTGCTGCTGAAAATTATGGAACAGGCTGCTAATCCTCAGGTATGCTCAACAACCCCCTACAGTAGCTGCGTCAGAGTGAGCAGCTGGAAAGTGGCTGTTTCAGGGACTCCGTGGGTGACGCTGCAGTGGTTTTGTTTGGGTGCTGGAAGGCATGTGCTTTCTGTAGCTAAAACCATTGTTTTGACTCGTGGCAACTTACTTTGAAGTCATCAAAGGAAAACTGGTCATATCTAAAAATGTCTTTCCACTTGCTTTGTTCTGCTCGGATGGATGCAAAGCTTGTATTTAGCCTCTCAATATGTTACTGTACTTTTGCTGGAAAAATCTCTTTTCTGTTTTCTCCTGCCTCCTTTTCTGCTGCCTTACCCGCTCTTGTCTCCCACAGTACGTGTGGGATAGGATGCTAGGAGGATTCAAACACAAGAATTTCCGGACAAGAGAAGGGATTTGCCTCTGCCTTATTGCAACGCTCAATGCGTAAGTCAAACCTACTACAAATTTAGGTTATATACATGTGTATGCTCTCTAAATTCACCTTGTACTTTTGTTCTTTATTCCCAGATCTGGAGCTCAGAGTTTAACACTGAGCAAGATAGTGCCACATATATGTAATTTACTTGGCGATCCAAACAGCCAGGTAAGCTCTTTTTGGTGTGAGTCACTTCCTGAAAGCTTTGCTCATCACTACCTCTGTCAGTAAACAGCGTTTGCTTGGTAAATTAATAAACTGGATTGCTGGTGGGGAATTTTATTTTGCTTATTAAAAAAAATCCTTGGATGTCTTGAACAGGTAGGATTTAAGATATGCTGAAAACATGTGAATTATTCTCGGGCGTTTACCAGAGCCCCCTCCGCTGGGCTGGATGGGGAAAGGCCTCTCTGGTCAAAGAGGCGTCTCCTGAGCTCTGGGAGACCCCTGATACCTGGTCAATGCTGCCCTCTCTTGGTGAAACGTGGTGGGAAGCAGAGGCCTCTTCCTTCAGAAGAAGCTATTTTGTTACTGCCCTTTTTTTCAGGAAGATTGGTGGGGAGGAGGCTCTTTGCTTCTAACTAACACAGCTTTTAAGAGCTTATAGAGCCCAGTGAATATTTCATGTGAAACCATATTTATTCTCAAAGTGTTTTCTGAAAAACAAAACGAGGATCCTGCGAGCCTGGGGAAGGGCCATACAGAAGGAGCCCGGAGCGCCGGGAGTCCCTGCCCTCCTGGCAGGAGGCTCAGAGGGATGCTTCGGGTTTCACAAAGATATCCCGAGCGTTGAAACATCTTTCCATGGAGCTTCCTGCCCTGCTGTCGCACCTGGCTCTGCCCCCTGTCAGCGGTGACCTGCGGGCAGCAAGGCAGGACCAGGGCCTGCGCAGAGGGACCTGGCGGCGCGGGAGAGCCTGCCCTGCATCGTGCCCTGCAGCCTTGTCTAGCAGTTAGGATTAAAACGTGGGAAAAAAGTAAACGAAAGGAACACGGGTGAGTCAAGTGTTAGTCGTGTCTTCCTAGGAAGAGGTGTGCGAGTGCCCATCTCTGCCTTGGCTCCAACCCGTGGGGCATTCCGGCCCGCACACACGCAGTGCGGATGCGGCGCTGGGAGCTGCGGCGCTGTGCGCACGGAGCTGCCCTCCTGCCGCGCTGGTTCTCGTCCCCTTTGGGGCAGGCGCAGCGCTCGTGGAGCACGGGGCTCTTTGCAAATGCAGAAAGGTGGTGCTTTATTCAGACTTTTGGCCCTGCTCTTGGGAGGTGCAGGGGGGAAGGATGTGCTCAGCAGCCGGTGTCTTGCAAAACACTTTAAACATGCAAAATTATTCAGCTAGGAATCCAAGCCAAATAATTGCTCATAAGCCTTTGCACTAATTATTCCTGGTATTCATAGGACTCCTTGGATTGCTGTGAAAGCACAGGACATGAAAAAACTCCAAGGAAGCAACAGTTGATTTATTGGTGATACTGCTTTGCTGCTGCATTAATGTGAAGTTAATTTTTGCCATAAGCTAAATATACCTAGGGATTGGCTAGACATTTGGGAGTTTCCAGTACTTGGCTCACACAGTCTTCCTTCTACCTGGGCTTTTCCTGTTCACTAGAGTTGTGCAACCAGGGCATGGGGGATATTAAGTATTGGATAATATATCACAGAAATCTGTGCTGCTGCTGCAAAGCTCTTGTTTGCTTGAAACAGGCCTATAAAAGGCTAGGTGTACGTTTTGGGAGAAATTTTGGTTAGGAAAATCCTGTCTCTGATAGGAGAATCAAGTACTGAGCCATCCTCAGCTTTTGACGTAGAGATGCAGGAGACTGATACTTCTCCCTCCCTCTGTCTTTTGTTGTCAACACAAAAAAGTTTGTGAGACTGCATTTATAAAAAAAATCAAGTTGTTTTATTTATGCAACAGTGTAATGGCTATTCTTGGCTTCTACGAGGTTATGTTTTTTTTTTGAGTCAGAAAATCTAGTTGTTGCAAACAATAAGTGGAATTTGGTAAGGGCAGCCTAATGCCCTATGTGTGTCTGGGCGAATCTTTCAGCTTCTTGCATCTTCGCTGTCTTTTGGATGAAAATAGGTCTGATCCTGTCAGCGTCTGAAATTTAGAGGTGGAAACTATGTGACCATTGTGATCACACGTACATAGAGGCAATTGTTCCTGAGAAATATGCAAATTTTCTCCTAGGAAGAGCAGGGATGTGTTTATTTAAATCATGGGGGCGATTTCTCTTGCCTCTCCTTCAGGTTCGAGATGCAGCAATCAACAGCCTCGTGGAGATCTACAGGCACGTGGGCGAGCGCGTGAGGGCTGATCTCAGCAAAAAAGGACTACCCCAGTCTCGGTGAGCGAGAATGCCCTTACATTCTCATGTGGTGGAGCTGTTCTGCCTTCTGCCTGGTTTTAGCAAGTTTCAGGAGCTGCATGACTGAAAATTCATCTCTGTTTAGGTCTTTTTAAAAAAAATTTCTACAAACACTCAGGCTTTGTTTAATGTGATTCCTTACCACTGAGTATTTCAAAGTTATGGTCTCTCTCTATATATCTAGAGACCATATATATGTGTGTATATATTATATATATGTATATATAGATGTGTGTATGTATATATATAAAAAGAGAGTAAAACTATTAGATTGGGCATCTCCCTTTCCCCACCTGCAGCCTGGGCTTTCTGCTGCAACCCACTCGCTGCCAGGCACAGAGCACTTTCTACTGCACCTGAGACACATACTGTTAATGCACCCAGACTAGGAGCTTGACAGCAAAGCTGCAACACTGCTAGACCTGAGGAAGGTCTAGATGGCAGCGTGCCAAAAACCATGGCAGGAGGGAAGGTGCAAACGTCGTGTTACAGAGACGGGGTGCGCAGGGAAGCAATGCTGCTGCCTCTGCTGTTTCCCACTGGAAACATCTGCCACAACGTGGCCTCGAGTAATAAACTCTCTAGGAAGGAATAATGAGATGTAATAAAGATCTTCCACTCTATCAGACATGTGACATGAATGGAAAATGTCAGGGCCAAACAAGAATGCTGTATAAAGCTGGCTTATTTTTTCCACCTCCTGGTATGTTTCCACAAATAGCGAAAAGATAGAACAGCAATGAACTGGAAGTGGTTTTACAGTGAGGCATGTTACATTCAGTCATGTAGCATTTCAGATTTTATCACTAAGATGCATCTGTAGTAGCTGCCTTTCTTTTTTTTTTTTTTTTTTCCCTTATCAGGCATTGCATGTTCTGATTTTTTATTGTTGCACATGAAATGCTTCTGTCCTTATTGGCGCTGTTGGTAAAGCTCCAGTGACTTGACTGAACCAAAATTAATCCTATACTATTCTAAATGAAAAGGCTGCTAAAAATCAAATTCTAATATTTAATTGTGTGTTTTCCTTTGACTTTCAAACAGGCTGAATGTAATTTTTACAAAATTTGACGAGGTCCAAAAATCTGGAAACATGATCCAGAGCTCGAGTGGTGAGTAGAAATTCTTATATTCTCTTTCATAATAAGCATTTAAACTTTGTTTTTGTAAGGCATTGAAATGGCAGTGGAACAAGCCTTCTGTTAGGGAAGGCAAGCAGGGAAGGTAATTCAGAAATATACACAGAGCTTTTTCAGAAAATGAAATCTGTTTACTTAGTTTCTTTGAACTTCCTAGTAGTAGTATCAGAAGGCAAATGGACAAATTTCAAGAACCCTAAGATATTATTAAAGCTGTTTCCCTTATGAGTTTCATTGAGGAAATACAGCTTCTGTTTTAACTGTTCATAAAGTAAATTCACCAGCAACTTAAGCTTCTTCAGTTTCCTGTTGTGCTTTCCCTGCTCACTATTAGGAATATTTTTGTGAGGGAATTTCTTGCTACTAGTTGTGGAATGGACCAGAGATAATCACAGCATTGAACTGATGCGTTTCTTTTTAGGCAGAATATTATTGGACTTATCTGAAAACTTGTGGACTAGCCCAAAATATCATGTGATAGTCTCTTGTGTGACTGGGAATGATGAACATTTGGGTGCCTGTGTGGTGGAATGGAGTTGAAAACACTCTACATAATATGTGAAAATACTGGCCTTGTAAATAGATGGAACTGGGCTGGGCCAAATAAGAATATTTGCTGGTGGTAAATAAGTTGGTTTTTGTCTCTTTTGTGTTTTCTTTAAGGTGTGTATTATTGTTCTAGGCAGGATGCTGCTGTCTGGAGCTTTAGGAGGTGTATTTGTGCCTTGGGCGAGCTGTGTTGTCACTTTAAACAAATGCTGTGGGATGCTGAGGGTGGATGGGGTTTGTTTTCAGGACAGGAAGGGGGAGAATTTGGACTTGAAGGTCCAAAATGCTTAGTAAGCATTTTGAGCTACATATAAGCTAAGCTTACAGAGGGATTTAGTGAAAGAAATTAAGGTGTCTTGGAAAATCGGGTATGTTGCAACTGATGAGAAGAGTACTTGGAGAGGAGAAAAAAAATAGTGAAAAGAATAAAATTGGATTGAGAGTAGGGAAGTGTTTGGTTTAAATTTGCAATATGAGTTTTTTAGCTCTGCAATCATTTTAGCATGTGTAGGATCTAGACAAGTCCTAGCACCCTTGCATTACCATTATTTGCTAATCCTTGGCTTTTGGTGGTTTCTAGGACTAATTAACATCTCAGCACACTCTAATGCAATTCATGGCTGTAGGCAGCACTGAAAGCATCAGTAAGAAGCTATATATGGGACAACAGGGATGAGCTCTTCTGGGCAGGCAGATCCTTCAGGATGCCTTTTTATTTTTAAGTGAAAGCAAAGGATCCATTTATACTAGATCTGATAGTTTTGGGCTTCATTGCAAAACTTTTAATACCCCTTCCTCTGCCATAGTTTTGATGATAATTTTGAAAACTTAACTCCCCCACACATGTGGTACCTGAAGCCTCGCACGCCTGATCTCGCATTCTTCATCTCTGCTCCTGCTGCGTGTCCAGACTCAAACACTACTTCTGTCTTCCTCTGGTGCTTGTGTCTATCTCCCTGTAAGAACAGTCCCTGTTTTTACTATGTCTGGGTGCAATCCCTGGTGTGTGTCCCTTCTCTCCTGAGGCTCCTGAGTGGACCCTGGGACCCCCTAAAAAGCAGCACAGGAGGGAGCTGGGGCAAGGGGAGCAGTGTCATGGGCTCAGAGTGAGCAACAGAAACAATATTTCCCTTTGATCTACTGCTCTTTCCATCTTGCCCCAAGAAAGATTGTTAATGGTTGATAGTTGGATGAATTAATTTTGCAGCACTTCTCATTGGTGAAGCTACTAATGAGAACGCTAATTATTGATAACGTCTGTGTGTTGGAGAGTGGGTTTCCGTCTTCCATGGTTTTGCAGGCAGGTTCATTCCTACTTCCCCTTCCAACCACACGCCAAATTTACCCCCCTTATCTAGTGTATGAGTAGCTCTGTGCAACCTCCTGTTTATCCCTTTGGAGGCTGCCCTAGCCAGTGATTGAGTGTTTTATCAGGACCTAAAGACAAGCAACGCTTCTGTGGGGCTTCTTGTGTCCCTTGCACCTCCTGCAGCTTTTGAACAAAGGTGACATTTGCAGCAGCTGCCAGGCAGTAGGGAAGGTGATAAATATTGCACGTGTGAAAACTTGGCCTTTCTTGAGAAACAGCTGTCTCAGTCTTGTTAATCCTTTAAGTCTGGCAGAGTTACAGCATTGATTACCAGAGTCTCTATCTTGTTATCTTAATACTGCTGCTTCTAGTTTGCAGCTCCACCAAGCTTCGCCTGTGCCAGGGCGAATGTGTAAGCGTAGAGTAGCTACTAGCAGTCGTAAACATGGTGTTATCTGGCCTGCCCTGCATCACAGCTGACTAGGAGATGTGATAGAGCTTTCTGGTGAAAGACCATTTCTTGCAAGCTCATGTTAGCACCCATCTGTAGCTAGTTAGTGCTATTTCTAGCTGCGCCCGGATTGCATTAGTGTCTTGAGGAGATGCACTGGCAGACCTGCACGAGGACCGCATCTCTGGAGGCACTTCTCGGGGTAAAAGAGCCCCTCAAAGCTCTGTCACCTCCCTCTGGATTGTTTTCTGCCCTGAGCTGCTTCCTGGGTTGGATGGGGAAAGCATCCGTGACTGCAGAATGGACCTGGCTGGAGACCCAGTGCCCCTGGGCTTCCTATCTGGGGCTTCACGTTATTTGGGAGTCAAAATGTGTCTTTGAAATAGCAAGATCAAGTCAAGTCTTTTCATGACTGCCTAGCAAAGATATTTCTGTTTTAATATAGCGTTAAGGTGCCTGAGCATTTGGATTCTCTGCTTCTCAGACGGGTAACTGTGAACGAGCTGTTGGCTAAAAATACTGCCTGTAACTGAGCCCCGGCCACCCAGGAGCACCGGCGTGTGCTAATTACAACAGGGTTTGAAAACAGTTGTTACACCTGACTTATTACAGTGTATAGCAGGACTAGGCAGGCAGGAAAAACAACTGCTTCTAAAAGGGGAAAAAATGTCTAAATAAAATTGGTTTGAAGTAGAACTATGACTAAAGTTATCTTTTGGCCCTGAGATTACTGGTTTGGATAACTTGTCTCTAGTTGGTCATTGAAAATTCAGATAAAAGAAAGCAGCTGCAGCAGCAATTTTGTATATAGAGAAATCTGGAGGTTAGCAGGTGTGCTGCAAGTCATTACATATTTCCCTTAAACAGCTAACCCTTTATGAGAGGTGATAAATGAATAAAAATCTACTCAGTCTACTACTAGTAATGGTATTGAAAATAATAGGACATGTTCTGCTCCAAAGTATAGATTTAATACATCAACTCTAATCAGACTGAATTTTGTTAGACTGCAAATAATTCAATTGTTTTAATATTTATTTTTCTAGCCTGTGATCCTTTAGTGTTCCCCTCAAGTTTATCTTGAACTGTGTGATTATTTTGGGTGCCTGGATGTTGTTTTTCGCGTTTAATACAAGATGCGATAAGAGTCGTGGGGAGAGGGAGGCTTTCCGTGGTGATCAGAGGTGTTTCATGAAGACAGGGAGGTTTTGCTGTGCTGAAGCAGGCTGCTCGTTGCTTGGATACCAGAGGGCCTTATAGCTAGAATATGGAGCTAAAATCCATGTTAGATTTTGCAATAATTCATAGTCTGTCTGTGTTTTTGTTATTTTGCATGTAATTAGTGAGGCTCTTGAAGCAAAAATTATAGTTTTTCTCCCTTCAGGCTTTCAGCAGGCTAATTATTTTTTGTGTAACTGCTTTTGCTAATTATGCAGATGTCTCATTCCCCTGGGAGAAAGAGGTTTTCAGCATGAAAGAGCCAATAATTGCCAGCTAGTCAGCGGCTGTCTCCGCGTGGCGCTGCGCGATGAGCTGTAATCGGATGTGATGCAGGGAGAGGCTCCTGCACCTAAACAGAGATTTTAATCTACTCTGAGAAATCCACGCTGCCCTGTTGTTCTTGGCCTGATGTCTGCAAGGACCTGAGCTAGCTCAGGCTGTGCAGATTTTTCCATGGGTTTGAATAGTCTTTGGATCTGACTTGGGCAGCAGAAGATTTATAGCCAAGTTCCACAACAGATTAAGAAGGAATAGAAAATTGTCTCCTGAGATGCAAACTGATAGGGATGGTGACCCAAACCAAATCCATTGGTAAACGAAATGTTTTGGTGTTTTTTCATGCACTTTATCATTGTAAAATCATAATATGGTCAGTCTTGATACTAAGCCTCAATTTCTACTTAAGTCAAATCCATTCTGGGAGTCCTTTTTACACAGGAATATCTGGGAGGTTGCCTATATGGTACCTGTGGATAGAAAAGGGATTGAAGTTGATTAAGTTTTGATTTTTGTGTAAGAGAGCAGGATTTGGGATAGCAGAGGTGATACTGGTCTTGGGCGACAAGGAAATGGCAGTAGGAGATGGAGTCAGAAGTCAGGAGCTGAGATGGCTCCCCTGCTTGCACAGAGCAAGGGAAGGGGATGATACCATTTTTACAGTTGCCTGCTTTTGTTAGACTTTAAATAAATTAATTAAATCAACACTAAAGTTGCAAATGCAGTAATTCCTGCTACTAAAAGCCGACAAAAGAGTGGTGTTGCTCTTGACTAGTGGTGTGTTTAAGGTATTCTTTAAGGTAAATATGCTTTTTTTTTTTTTTTATGAATTTGCATTATGCGGTTGACAACTTGGCAATTGGATGAAAACCAGAACTTCGCTAAATTCACTTGTGCTAATAATAAAGACTAGCCACCGAATGCTATTTTGGTATTACAAGGAGAAAAATAACCCACATTTGCTGAGCGTTGAGTGGGATGTTGTTTGTGGACACACTCGGAAGCCGCAGCAGCGCAGGCTGGAAGGGGGGCTGCTTCCCTGCTACCACACAAGGGCTCTGAACCGACAGGCTCTGCCCTGTTTCTCTGCATCCTGCTGTTTATTTTTCCACCATGGCTTGCACTCTGGCTATTGACTATGAATATTCAACTTTCAAGCAAAAGTAG